AACCTGGGCGCGACTTGCACTGATTACCGCCGGTGACTCCTTCGATACCTTCCAATAACATGAAAAATACTTAATTAAGGCTAAAAAAAGTCTCAGTTCGTACTCGTTGATTTGCGCAACAAAGTCGCCATCTTTGTTTATATGAGACCCATATATCTCGCACATGCGCAGCGCGACGACTACCGCGCTTTAAATACTCTTACTTGCTATTGTTACTTGCTGTCCGATTTATAAGTGGGTAAGCTAGGGGGGTGGTCAATCTGCTTTTTCTATTTTATGGCATAAAGTCACGCCCTCTACATTCGTATACACAAGAAGAATGATGTCATACTCTGAATGAGGGCTTAACCAATAATAACCCACACGGGGGGGGGGGGGTCCAGCTAGATAAATTGTGCTAAATCATATACATGAATAGATGAGCAATGCGTTGACACTCGACATGAACTGCAATACAGACAACATTTGAACAGGAAAATATCCATATTTTACGGTTAAAAAAACAAATGGTTCTGACTACTTACTTCTTCGGAAATCTAAAAATATATATGAAATTGATGTATAATGTTGTGGAAGGGTTATATAAATCTAAGTAACCACGAAACAAACATGTACCTTTCTTATTTGGCGAGCTCTTGGTGTAAATTATTTCTCACCAAAGTGAGTTGAGTGTGTTGATTTTCCCCGCCAAATTGCAAGTGCAAAATGTTACAAATTTGTGTGTATTTGTTCTATAATCTCTTAGTAAATGGTGACTAAATGAATATAACTTTTTTACAGCTTTTGATAAAAATATGTGGAAACTAAAAATACCAGGGTTGATGAGGACATTAACAAAATTGACCGAAATTGGCGCGGTTTTATTTCTATCGTTCGCCCTAGCAAATGACATTTGGAATGATGTATAGATAAACATGTTGCTATGACAACTACTTCTCGTCCATCTGTGACAAGATTATTATATATATATAACAAATAATATTTACATTCTCTCCATCCGGATGTGTCCAGTTTCTATTAAATCCGTAGTTTTATACGAATTCCAATTTGGATGAGTGGACCGGTACAATAGTTGCGTTTACTTTATTCGTTTGCTTTCCATCAGCTTGTATATACGTCCCTGTTCATTTCTGAAGCACTACATCATTACGGCATATGTGGCATGTTTTAAAACATGGCGGAACTTCCGGTATATTTTGAGGGCTATGTTACATTTCATTATACGCACAATACACTATCGGTAGTGTTCCTTGATCCTAATACTTGCATTGTTTGAAATATTTATTATTGAAAAAAGTGCAGTTTTAGAAGTTGATGATATAAGCGCACATCGCCATTTGTAAAGTTGAAAGATACCATACCTTTATTAATTCATGCTTTCGTAGTGTGTTACTGGTACCTAATAAGATCATGCGGTCATGTGACATATCAGGATGGGTCACGTGATTGAAAGTATCAAACTTGAATATTACAAATTTGTTAATTTGCTCTTATGATGAAATCAAGATTCGATTCTGAGCCAATAATATTAGAAAATACACAGGTCACATGACCAGACATAGTAACATGTGTTCTATTATTTCACATTGTCGCTTAACGCTCCCGTGCCTTATCCATAACCTTATATCAAAATATGAAAAGACCATGGCCTTAACCTTAACATCACAGCAAATTAACCGCGATGTTTGATAATATAACGATATCGGTATTCCGCTACTTGGTGTGATATAATGTGATGTATCCATGGCAATCTGAAAGCATGTTTTCAGCAGTAACAAGTTTCAGATTATAAGTTCACAGAAAGCTATTCCCGTACATACTGTATGAATTAAAGGTAACGTCACGATCTAATTCAAAGCGTTCATGTCGTGTTTGCCAGGTCTAGTGCTAAAAAAGAGTGAGTTAAGGGATCAGACACATAGCTCAGTGTTTGCAAGATTAAAGGGTGGTAGTCGTCGCGCCATGCATGCGTTAGATATATGGGTTTCATATACAGTAAACAATGATGGCGACTTTGACTATTGCGCAGATCTCCGTTGCGAGAGCGCATTGGATTGTGGGAAAATAAATGTTTATCAACACAATGTCGCACATGCGCAGCGCGACGACCACCGCCCTTTAAACAAATATGTTAGCTGCCATTGCGTAATATCTAATTTTATTTTGTACACGAAGTGAAAAACAGGATCATATTATTGCTGTAGGTGACAAACAATATAACTATTCAGGCAGAAAATCATTATTAATATTCCTTCATTCGTCGTCTTCTTCCGACATTTGTAAAAACTCAAAAGGATAGGGATATCCAAAAAGTTTGAAATCCCATTCGTATATCTCATACAGTCTCATAACTTCCTCGTGAGAAAGCTGACTGAAATAGTGCTTCATTATCTGATGATGTGAGCTGTCTGTTCTCTGACCGATGTCGTATACAGTGTCCGGAAAATTCAAATGCTTTATTCCAGAAGCGTGTAATACAAAGTCCGCGTCCTCGTTCAGCTCCTCGTATCTGCCAATGACGTCATACTTTATCGTACAAGGTGTACAAGATTTGTAAATAGGCGCCCAATGAGCGTCAAAGTTGTTTACGTTACTGTCGCTCAGATATCTCACAAATAGCGGGAACGTGACGCTGTAACTGTCTGATAGGTTGTATCTCTTCATTATGGCATCTCTGGTGTTTTTTATCGAAGTGCTAAGAAGCGGCTCGTGTCGACCACTTCGAGATCTCTGTCGTTCGAACTTGTCACGATAAGCCGATAGCAGGCGAGTAAATGGATGGCGAACAAACAAAAACTTGACGTAATTCTTGAATATTTTTGAATTCAAACTTTTTACAGTGACTCTCTGCCTACCGTGTTTTACTACCATTTTCTCCCATCGGAAGTCAAAATCATCGTTTATTTGGGATGAGTTGGCAAATCCTAATAAAACTAAAAACACTCTTTTCCAACTCGTTGACGCCACTTTCTTGACTAGACAGGTCAATAGTCTGTGTTTTTCATCAACAAAAACCTTCATCGAGGACCGTAAATGAAAGTCGTTCTCCTGATTGGTCATTTCACGACACGCCGCCTTTAGAGCGTCCTGGCGTTCCACCATCTCGGTAGCCCGTTTTTCGTATTTTGCGTTTGGATCCGGCGTTATTTCCGCTGTTGTCTCCTGCAACTGAATTTTGATATAGATTAAGAAGAGTGAAGAACAAAGTGAAACAATAGTGGCCGAACTTGATTATGGCACATTCGGGCGGGCCGGGCCTCCCAATTGGCATATTCAACTTCAGCCAATGTACATACACTCTGTCCTGATAGTTTGAAAACAGTAGAAGTGTTGGGCAAGTAAATAAAACTGCGATAAAGACGTTTTCGACATTGTAAAATTCTTTTGTTTTTATGCAGAAAATACACAATTTTTATCAAAATAAAATCATATTTATTAAAGTTATTGTTCATACACGATTTGTTGGACACACTACATAATTTGTAATTTCATTCAGCTTCTTTTAGTCATAATTCAAGACAAATAAAAGGCAAAATTATAGAGAATATAGTAAATTATCATTTTTCTGTAATATTCTTGTGTGATCGGTAATTATGAAAAATTATTCATGGGTGCATAAGGAATACATTGTAATAATATCTGTATAAATTACGTTATGCATTGTAATAATATTTGTACCAATTATGTTATGCGTTCTAATATTGTTTGTATCAATTACGTTATGCATTGAATATTGTTTGTATTATTTACCTTATGCATTTTAATATTATTTGTATCAATTACGTTATGCATTGAATATTGTTTGTATTAATTACGTTATGCATTGAACATTGTTTGTATTATTTAAGTTATGCATTGAACATTGTTTGTATCAATTACGTTATGCATTGAATATTGTTTGTATCAATTACGTTATGCATTGAATATTGTTTGTATTAATTACGTTATGCATTGAATATGTTTTGTATTAATTACGTTATGTATTGAACATTGTTTGTAT